ATAGGGTGACAAACGAGCACACAGTCCACGTGATGGTAAGTGGTTACTGGGACCCATAGACATCTACATCTATCCTCAATAAAGACTCAAGATGCAGATGCGTTGTCACCCGTGAGGACTAAGATGGAATGCCTCTTTGGCAGTAAAAAGGGTCTCCGGTTCTCAACAATCACCATACGAAACATAGCAGCGTTAAGCTGCTATTTTACGCTGGTTTTCTCTGCCGACCCATTCGTATTACAACTATACTACTAATATAGCTGCAGCGTGGCTCTACCCATACTCGTAATAACAACCAGCGATCCCCGGCGTCGCATGGATAGGATCTATTAATGTCACTTTTTTCGCATAAAATATAGCCTAGATCTCTCCTGGCATTGCTTTCTATCTGTGCATAAAGTTTTATCACATTAAAAATCAGCGTTGTAGTTACCACTATGTGGTTTCTATAACATTTGTGCTGAGTAGACACCATTTTAGTTGCATTTCATTAATTTATTTTGTTCATTTATGTTTATGTTGGAACTAAATAAATTATATTATTATTACTACACTCGGTGTAGCCGTTCCGAATGATTAGCCCGGACGGACAGATAGATAAAAAAATTTAAAATGGTTAGTTATGTCTTATCATCATTTACGTCGTAGAGCCATACTACAGCTGTATAAATAGTATAGTTGTAGCAAGAATGGGTCGGCTAGACCGGGGAAGGACCACGTTCTCATAGAATACCAGCGTAAAATAGCAGCTTAACGCTGCTGTGTTTCGTATGGTGAGTGCAGAGAACCGGAGATCCTTTTTATTGGAAACGAGGAATTCCATCTCAGTCGTCATAGGTGACAACGCAGCTGCATTTAAATTCGTAATTGAGGGTAGATGTAGATGTCTATGGGCCACAGCAACCACTTACTATCAGGTGGACCTTGTGCTCGTTTGTCACCCTTGTCCTATAAAAAAGATATAACCCCCTATGCTTTATAGAAGCCAGTTTTTTGATATTACAGACACATTCTAATCCTATTCATATGTATGTAGATATATAACCAGACCTAACCTTTTTTTTTATAGGATAGAGTGACAAACGAGCACACAGTCCACCTGATGGTAAGTGGTTGCTGTGGCCCATAGACATCTACATTTATCCTCGTTTGTGAATCAAAATGCAGATGCGTTGTCACCCGTGAGGACTAAGATGTAATGCCTCTTTTCCAGTAAAAACGGTCTCCGGTTCTCTACACTCACCATACGAAACACAGCAGCATTAAGCTGCTATTTTACGCTGGTATTCTAACCTACATGATACCTACAAATACTCCTATTTTCACAAACGATCATAAGCTGAAATCACACTTGAAGGCTTAGATCTCAGTTTAACCAGTCCTTCCATGTTAGTTTTTTTTTGTTTAGTTGTTTTTATTGTGAAATTGATAGGATTGGCTTTTCCTCTTACGACACATTCGTCATATAAAATATTATACCTACATGTATATAATATTATATTATAATTGTTATCTGGCTGCCTCTATGGTCTAGTGACATAACTACAGATAAACTAATGTGGTCTCGGGTTTGAAACTCGAATCGGCCCAAAATCATTGACATTTTCTGTCATGAAAATCTCAGCTGCCCGAAGTTAGAAACTTGACAGTGTTTCACCCACATGCCTCGGTAAGCACATTGTTCATCGCTTATTCTCTTTCCGGTCGTGTCGGTTTGCTGTCCCATCGGACTATTAGATTGATGAAATTGCACCATATTTCTGTAGCTACCTGTACTAAGGTACTATTATTTATTTTGTGGTACAGGTCAGGAAGTTGTCTGTGTTTCGCACCCATGCTGCGGAAGGCACGTAAAACCGTTGTTTTTCTATGTTTTTTTTATCGGATTGCCGCCCCATCGGACTATGAGAGTGAGGGAATAGAAAGTATATCTGTGCTTGCGCACTTACTTGTATATTATGATCCTGACCTGCGCAGATAGCTAGTCTACGTTGAAACTTGGCGCCATTTTTTTATAGAATAAGGGTGACAAACGAGCACACAGTCCACCTGATGGTAAGTGGTAGCTGTGACCCATAGACATCTACATTTGTGCTCAATAAAGAATCAAAATGCAGATGCGTTGTTACCCCTGAGGACTGAGATGGAATACCTCGTTTCCAGTAAAAATGGTCTCCGGTTCTCTACACTCTCCATACGAAACACAGCAGCATTAAGCTGCTATTATACGCTGGTATTCCGTGAGAGCGTAGTCCTACCCCAAGCCGAATACAATTCAACTGTCGTATTGTCCCTTTCTATGATTTCATAGTAGTTTAATAACAGTACCTAGTAGTAAAATTAAAGTGAGCATGGCGTCGATGATCGTAGCTTTCGAACACCATAGACAACTACATCCTTCCTTAATTTAACATACAAAATAGGTTTTCCGCCACATAGCAGTGCTTGCACTGCTGTATACCGGTTTGAAGGTTATAGGGAGCCAATATATAGTATAGTACGTACTGTGGCATTCCATCTTAGTCCTCAGAGATGACAGCGCAGCGATAACATTCTATGATTGAAGTTGGCTGCAGGTGCCCCTGGACTGCACGTGCCACTTATCATCAGGTGGACTGTAGGTCTATTAGTCACTTGTAGTTTTATATATAAATATAAATTTTATATATAAACTTTTCTCTTTATTTTCCATATTTATTTTAACAAATTTTTATTGTATTGTATAGCGAAATGAAATTATTTTTGTACTACTCACGGTGGAAGACGCTGACGGCTGTAACACAGTTTATACTTGTATGGCCGTCAACGCATTTCTTTGAAATATTATTTTGTAATTTAAAATAGATATAATACATACGCGTAATTTTCTAATAAATTATTATTATTATATAAAAACAAGAAAATTGAAAGATTGCAGCGCGTGAGGTGAAAGATTGAAAGAGAATAGTACAACAAGATGTTACCCATTCTTAAACATTATTTTCTTAATATTAATGTTGCCATACCATATTGAACAGTGTGGTTTATTCTAAAAAAAAAAACGCATGAGCATTGTATTGACCAACAAAATGAGCCTTTGTATTAAAAGTTACAAACCGCTTAAAAAGAAAAAACACTTTTTTTCTGTATGTAAACATATTTTTACTCCTCATCATCATCATCATTACAGCCTTTCACAAGTCCACTGCTGAACATAGGCCTCCCCCAAGGAATGCCACAAAGCATGGTCTCATGAAGAGATCGCGTTAGTTCACTATTCGTAATTTGGTGATAAATGAATCCGGGACATTGAATGTTGAACTTTGAACTACTGTCCGTTACTGTGTATTATCGGGTATCACGTGTTCGATTCTACGATGAATGAGGAATTAGGCGAGTTTAAGTTAGTTAAATGTACAATGAAGCTAATAGACTGAAATAGTGACATGAAAAAAGAAATGGTCCAGCGGGGAAGCCTGCTGGAGTGATGCAGCATTGTGGGGCAGCATGGAAGTCGGCCGCTGCAGGTCTCTTCAGCTGGGCCAGGCCTCAGACACATACACATCACTAAACACTACTTTCCATGCGCCTTACATCCACCTACGGCCTGACCGAGCCTTGGGGCGGTCTTAGATTCGGATACAGGTACGTACTATATTTTTCTAGCCTTCTCCCTACAGTTTAGGATGATAGGACATTTCTCCATATGGCCATTCGGGCTCGAACCCGCGGCTGCCCGTTGAATCTTCCGCTCATGGGCCTCGGGATATTCGACCTTTGCAGGGGCAGCTGTGGGCTGTAACAGGGACTTTGGAACAGAGCACGAGGGGGACGGAGCGTTGACTTCATTAGACGAGACCTCGCCAACTTAACGTTTAGGTTCAGTGTGCCTCTAACCATTAGGTGATCGCTACCAGTTTTCACACTCGCGATCACGGAGACATCACTGAACAGTTGTCGTCTGGTCGTCATAATGAAGTCTCTCATTTTTTGTCGAACCGTCGGGGCTCGACCAGGTCCACCTCCTGTGGGGCCGCTTCTGGATGAAGGAGTTCATCATAAAGAGTCCTTCTTTCTCCATGAAGTCGACCAGCTGCTGGCCCCTTGGGTTCCGTTGTCCTATTCCAAGTTTCCCTACAGCTCACCGTTCTCTCTTGTGCCTAGTTTTGCATTGAAGTCTCCCATTAACACCGTATAGTGGGTTTTGGAGGAATGCATGGCTCTAGAGATATCCTCATACATTTCCTTCACCACCTCATCGGGGTGTGCCGAGGTTGGTGCGTAAACCTGTATAACCTTCAGCGAATACCGTTTGGTGATTCTGAGTATAAGGTACGCAACCCTCGCCGACACACTCTCAATCTTTACAACGTTGTTAACGAGAGACTTGTGGACGATAAATTCGATACCTCCTTGGGACAGATGGTCACCCTCCCGGTGACAGAGTAAGTTACCGGATTCGAGGATTACCGTGTTGTCCCCCTCTCTTCGGACCTCGGATAATCCTATAATGTGCCAGCGTAACTTGTCTATCTCTTCTTCCAGCTCCACGATCTTTTCGTCAGTCCTCAGGGTGCGTGCGTTGTATGTTGCCAGGTGGAGTCGTCTTAGGTGGCAACCGAACCTTCACCGGAGATTCTTAGCACCCCCTGCCCCGCCGTTACCATGATCGCCACCGTAGCCAGGAATAGCGGGGCCGCCAGGGACTGGGGGCCGTTTATTATTGTCATTGCTCATGGGGGGTATATTGCCATAGTTGCCACGCTTGGCAAGCGGGTTGACAACCGCAGTTTTTTTTATTCTAATTTAGCTGTTATCAGGAAGATGCTGCTGCCCATCTTCTGCCCGTTTCCCTTTGTCGCCTTTTACGACACCCACGGGCAGATACGGGGTAGTGGATATTCTTAACCGCCACTACGGTTACGGTACGGATGTTTTTACTCCTATTGCTTCGATAATAGCATGCCTTGTTATATTTTTAATCTACAAATAACTAACATTTTCAGTTATCACACACCACAATGAGTCGTCTCACACCGAATCCAGCCAAGGTCCTGATACGGGAGAAAGTGGCAGCGAGCATCGCAGTTCTGTCTACAGAAGAAAAAAAGAGACAGTCTCAAATTGTTTACAATAAAGTAAGTAAAAATTAATTTGTTTTATTATATTAGATTTTTAATTAATAAGGCTATATTACCTACGTATGTTAAATAACTTTGCGCATTTGAAACCCAAGTCTCACGTGACACTAAAATAATTATATCATATTTATTTATTTATACCTTATTGTGTTAACTTATATAAAAAAATTATAAGAATCTTCCCGTGCCTCACCGTGAAGTGGTGTCATCTGACCTGACGGTAATGACAATATCGATGTCGACATCACCGAGTAATTTTAAATAAGCGCATTTAAAATAATTTTTATTTTATTTGTTCTTAATTTATTTTCTAGGTTATAAATCACCCCAGCTACAAAGCAGCGAATAATATTGCAATATTCATGAGCACAGACCAAGAGGTCGACACAGCACCAATGATAGCTCACATACAAGCTAGGGGAGCGTCCGCATTCATCCCCCAGTATGCCGGGGGAAAGATGAGGATGTTGAAGTTGGAACCAGGAGATGAAAATTCTATGCCGCTCACGAAACACGGGATATTGCAGCATTCCAAGGACCAGATCAGGGAAGACGCTCTGGATGCCGGTTTGAATGTTTTGTTATAACCATGTATGATTTTGCGTAAGACAAACGATCACTTGTTCGTCCCGTGGGTGTCGTAAGAGGCGATAATGGATTATGATGAAATTACTTCATCGCCTTCGAAATCTGGCAGTCCAGCGACATGCGGTAGAGTTTAAGGTGCGATACGTCTGACGATACGACCGCTCATCAGCCTGCAGAGTGACGATATTGGCAAATCTTCTCTACATCGGATGAGGCCCTTAACTTGCCGAAAAGTGGAACGTTTATCTAAAGTTAGAATCTAAATGAAAAATCGTAACGTAATTTGGGACCGGTTTTAAAAAATATCTACAAAATAAACAATCAATTTTTTATTTAAATAAATCTGGATCTGTTTACAAAATCAAATTTAGTGTTAGTATTACTACTTAGTCATAAAGTTTATATATAGTGTATATATATATATATATATATATATATATATATATATATATATATATATATATATTTGTAAATGTATATTGCTTGCTCCAACTTGAAAGAATAGTTTTTATCCCGATAAGTGACCCTCAATATTTAAATAAAAAATTTAAATGGCAGAACAAAGATATATATATATATATATATATATATATAATGCAATACATCATATATGTAATATTATTCACTTATATACGAGATACCAGTAGTAAATATTAATATAAGACAATCTTATAATGAACGCTTTTATTAAAAAAAAAAATATTCTCCCCAGTTTATTGCTAGATAATAACTACGTAAAGTTAGTATAACTGCATTCGAACTGTAGAAAACTTTGTTTTTGTTTAGTCACACGCTTACTTTTGTCTTCCAGGACTTGATTTGATCATAGCGCCAGGTGTAGCGTTTACGCGCAACGGAGGAAGAGTTGGGCACGGGGGAGGCTATTATGATAAATATATAGCAAATCTACGCAAGAACCCTGACACAGCGCCTAAGGTAACGTAATCAAACCAATCAGCAATTTCTTTACAGATTAAGCTTAAAATAAAACTAACGATGAACTGAAGTTCTTATAACATGTGTAAACACACGAATTAAGTGATGATGGTTACAAGATTTATTTCACTAGTGTCAGCCACTCAGCAAATCTAAGCCAAATAGGTGCGAAATTATTTTATTTTATCATACACAGTGCTCTGAGGAATTGTTCGGACTAATTCCAGCCGCTCAATTTCACCATCGGACATCGCAACAAAACCCGCGATACCATCCATATCATCTGGATGATGCACCACTGTGTGATTTAGAAGACGTTTCTTCTTCGCACAACTTCCTTGTGGAATTAATTACCACCAGCGATTTTTCCGGACCGATACGACTTAGAGACCTTCAAGAAAAGAGCCTACTCCTTTTTAAAAGGCCACCAACGCAACTGCAATTCCCATGGTTTTCAGTTGTTCATGGGCGGGGGTAGTCACTTACCATCAGGTGAGCCGCATGCTCGTTTGCCCCCTCTCCTATAAAAAATAACCTGGCAGTAAACGTACAACCTTTGACTCTAATGCATACCACTACATCACCGGGCTGGCACCGGAGGCCATGAAGTATTTTAACATAATTCATTATAGCCGCTTGTGACACCCACGGGACGAAATAGAGTGATCGATTTTCTCAAAATCGCACGCAGTTATAACGAAACAAGCAAACCGGCATTTAGAGTTCCCCGTCGCCGTCACGTCTGAAGTAAATAAGATGATAGCGCAATCTATCCGAAAACATGGGATTTATCTGGAGTTTTCGATAGTCACCTCTTTCGGCACTCACGTAATAGTGGTATGGGTTCTCTAACGGCGCTTCACTGCTGTTGCTTTATTTACCGAGTTAAACTTTTTGTTTGTGCTTCGCTCGCCATCGCAATAACGCGTAAAGGCATTTTTTAATAAGGTAAGGGTGACAAATGAGCACACAATCCACGTGATGGTAAGTGGTTGCCGTGGCCCATAGACATCTACATCTGTCCTCGATTACGTATCAAAATGCAGATGCGTTTTCACCCGTGAGGATTTGCATTAGCATTAGTAAGTTACTTTATTTATTTAGCGCCAAACAAATTCTTCATTAAATTTTTAAAATTGACATGGCAGCCATGGACATCTGTAACCAAATTCAAGTAAAGAAGACTGCAGTTACGTTGTCACCTTTGCCGTACAGCCTGTATTTAAAATTTGGGAAAAGAAATAGGTAAAATTGGTGTTACCTACCCAAACAAACTTCTGTTTTTGGTTTCTAGTTCTGATATCCAATAATTCACCAGTAAAATCGACTACGAATTTTTGTGAATTTAAAAAGGAACCAGCATCAGCAGTGAACTTTTGTAGACTGTAATACTTATGATGATGAGAGCACAATGTTTTAATCACAGGACATTAAAAAAGATGAACATTTTAACTGTTGCCGAAACCATGCTCCACTTCTCGACATGTGTGTGTGTGTGTGTGTGTCTTTCTTCTTTCTTTTTTATCAGCTGGATTTCATCCATTGCCGAACGCACTTATATGCAACCGAAACCATGGTTTTAGGTGAAAATGTGAGCTTCCAGCTCGGAATTTTACCTACGAGGTGATAAATAGAAAGAAGTTAAAAATAGTTAAGACGTCACTTGAAACGTAGGTACACATCGCTCTGTGTTATTATAAATCTTCTGTTTTGTAATGTTATATAATTCCACAGGTGATTGCGATAGCCTTTAAATGCCAAGTGTTGGACGAGGTCCCGATGGACGAACAAGACCAGAGGATCGACGAAGTGATTTTTGCTGACTGAATCGTTTAAGCACAATAATATTCTAAGTTTTTAAATATAAGACTCAAAATGTGTTGTCCTTGTTTAATAAACTTTGTAAACTTTTTCACAACTGTCAATTTATTTAATAAACGTTTTAGGGGATGAATGATATTACATATTCACAAAAGTAATAAAAATGTTAGTGGAACGTTTACATCATTCGTCATACGTATAGCAAAGGAATAAGCTGCCAGTGTCTTCTTTTTTATAGGATAGGGTGACAAACGAGCTCACAGTCCACCTGATGGTAAGTGGTTACTGTGACCCATAGACATCTACAATTATCCTCAATAAAGAATCAAAATGCAGATGCGTCGCCACCCGTGAGGACTAAGATGGAATGCCTCTTTTCCAGTAAAATGGGTCTCTACACTCACCACACGAAACACAGCAGTGTCAAGCTGCCATTTTACGCTGGTATTCTGTGAGAGCGTGGTCCTTTCCCGGTTGAGCCGACCCATTCGTGCTACAACTATACTACTAATATAGCTACTAATATGGCTCTACCACGTATAAAACCTTTACCCTTAAAGCTAACATTGCGGAAATATCTTATTCCTTACCATGGTGGCATTACACCGGAGGCGTGAAGCGGAAGTGCGGTGGACTTGTTCTTCAAGAAAGGTGACAACGCTCTCTTGAAAAACTATAGACCGATTTCCCTTCTGAGGCGCGTCTACGTGCTGTTTTCGAGAGTCATTACGAATCGTCTCGTGCGCAGACTTGACGACTTCCAGCCTCCCGAAGAAGCCGGTTTCCGAAAGGGCTCTAGTACCATAGACCACATACATACCCTTCGGCAAATTGTACAGAAGTCCGAGGTGTACAATTTGCCACTATGTCTGGCGTATGTGGACTATGAACAAGCCTTTGGTTCCGTCGAAATTTGGGGGGTACTGCAGTCCCTTCAGCGGTGCCAAGTTGACTGTCGGTATATCGAAGTGCTGAAGTGCTTGTAAAGTAGGGCTACGATGACTATCCGAGTACAGAACCAGAGTACGAAACCTATCCAATTGCAGAGAGGTGTAAGACAGGGTGACGTTATATCCCCGAAACTCTTCACCGCTGAATTCGAAGACGTTTTCAATCTTCTGGACTGGAAATGATACGGTATTAACATCAATGGCGAGTACATCACTCACCTTGATCTTGCCGATTTGATCCTTATGGCAGAATCGCTGGAGGACCTAAGCACTATGCTCAATGACCTCAATAGTGTCTCCCAACGGATAGGTCTTAAGATGAACATGGACAAAACAAAGATCATGTTTAATGTCCATGTCACACCTATGCCGGTAGTTGTTGGGAGCACTAAGCTCGAAGTTGTTGACGAGTATGTTTATCTGGGACAAATAGTCCGACTAGGTAAGTCCAACTTCGACCGAGAGGTCAATCGACGGATTCAACTCGGTTGGGCAGCGTTCGGGAAATTACGACACATCTTCTTGTCAGGTATACCTCAAAACTGTATGAGTGCGTGTTGCCAGTGATGACCTATGGAACTGAGACGTGGTCCTTCACTGCTGCCCGGATGAGGAAGCTCAAGGTCGCTCAGCGAGCTATGGAGAGGGCTCGGATTTTCTCTGCGTGATAAACTTAGAAATGAGAATATCCGCAGTAGAACTAGAGTGACCGACATAGCCCAACGGATTAGTAAGCTGAAGTGGCAATGGGCCGGCCATATCGAGTGGCGGCCTCGTACCGGCGGACGAAGTGTAGGGCGTCCCTCCAATAGATGGAGTGACGACCTGGTAAGACATGCAGGAAATCGATGGATGCGGGTGGCTCAGGACCGTGCTTTGTGGCATTCCTTGGGGGAGGCCTATATTCAGCAGTGGACTTATGAAGGGCTGTAATGATGATGATGAATGATTGCCAGTATACAGAGATCCTATAATATAAAAAAAGCCTCAGTTGAATAGCGTTAGTATACTAGGCCTGCCTTTTCTGTCTAGGCCTATTTCTTTGTCTGGGGAGGTACTACGCTCCTACCTATATTTGCCACAAAATGACAGTGCGTGCACTCCTATGTTCCGGTCTGAAGGGAATAGAGAGTGAGTCTGATTACGGGCTGTGAGGTATTCCATCTTAGACTTGAGAGGTGACAACACATCTGTAGCTTTCTTTGTTTGAAACTGGCTGCAGGTGTTCATGGACTGCAGCCGCTTACCAACACGTGGACTAGTTCCTGGACTCGTTTCGTTTGTCACTTCAGTTTTATTGTAATTAAAAATCTGTTACTAATGAGGGCTAATAATTTTCTGCTCACCAGATGTCGCTAGTTGACACTTGACACTGAGGTAAAGTTTTTTGTTACACAGTGTAATTTAATTGAGAAGTTGTTTTTTAATAAAAGTTTATCAGTTTCTAGAGTATTATATTAGTATACACAAAACAATGCGTCAGTAGTATGCTCTTTAATTTTTTTTGCACATTTTTAACTTTTTTTAATTTTTCCTCTTTTATGAATATCTGTGTTTGGTTTATTTATATTTAATCTTATTAATATAAAATAAAGCTAATAGTACAGAAAGAAACACTAACCTTTACATTTTTCGAACAAATTAACTTCCCCGCTATGAAATCTGTCAAATATTATACCTCACTTTCAAGTGGCACCGCCCTGGTGGCAGAATAAGTCGTGAATGCTCTCATTATTAAGACCATGAAGCAAATATTTGCTTCATGATTAAGACATTAAAAAATGTGCGAAAATTTTGCTTTATCGAAAACATAGAAAGGAATATCAATAAATATAGTTAGTTTAGGTGAAAAATTAAACAGTGTTTCACAATATAATACTTTATTTAAAAAGATACGCACTTTGTGCAAAAAAAATTACTAAATAAAACTGTTACTACGCCAAATATTTAAGAATTAAAAGATATATTTTTTACAATAAATCAAATAATCAAAATATTTTTACAATACCAATATTATAATAATAAGCTACATAGATCACATTGTATGAAGATCACATAATTTAAATTGAACGTAGATATAAAGATATGAAATTGCCTAAATTATAAAAATTCAAATAACAATAATGGCTATCAAAAAGTTACAATTAAAATATTTAAAAAAAAACGAAAAATATAAAAATATGAATCAGATACTAAGAAATATTTTTATTTTAATAATTATACAAAATATACGAATTTCTATGTAAAACTGAAGTTACTAATTTATCAGACCGATAGCTTTTAGCCTTTGAAAAATTTACGAACTTAAGTTATAGGATATGTGTAAGTAATAATAAACCAATGTATAATATATAATAGATTTCCTTAAACTAAAATTATCTATTAAATTCGCTTTTAAATTATAATGTCAACAGAAAAAAATATTTTTCTTCTCACAGTACCTTCCAAATACACATACCTATATTTTTCTTATCATTATGTAATTATTAAATACATAGTTTGATTTATTTTCGTTGTCGGGTGATTTACAATTCTTATATTATATTATTTCGAAAGGATTTTAGCTGGAACTTCACGGCAAGTGGATGTAAGTTTCTTGGTGTAAACATCCAAATTGAAATAATGCAAAGAAATAATGGCTTAAAATGAAATTTGTCACGCGAAAGCAATACAGTGTATTTAACATTTACGACAATAAATATGAAAACGATAAAACAAGTGCTTTGTTTGTGGTAAGAACCTTAAAATATTTAATGCATTTTGACGCCTTAAGATATAATCGTCTTTGAATCAGCTGAGCTAAGCTTCCATTAAAATCTCCGAGACGCTACAATATGGCGCATGGACATATTGGGTATGAATTATTAATATAATGAATAACATAATGCAGCATTTGATGTGTTTTATTTTGGTTGAAGGCCTTGTAACCAATGCCACGGCATTCAACATTAATCTTAAAATAGGAATATTGAATAATATACGTACATCATTATAACATTAATATAAATCACTTTGTTTATTTTGTCATTATTATCAAGAAATTATAATGAAAGTACCGTGGTTACGTCCATCCATAGTAGCTGGAGTAGGTATATTCGTGATAAAATGGCTGCAAATTTCTAAGTGATTTCTTCGAGTGAATAATGTACCTTGACAGTTATTTAATGTGTCGATTTTCTCCATTATTTTACCGTTGGAAGGATTATGGTTAAGATACTATAACCTCAAAAAAATAGTATGTATACACATTTTATATAAATATGAATAAATAATAATTAAATCATATCAAAAATATCTAATTTAGCATAAAATAAAATATAAGATAATTTCTTAGTTGTTATAAAATTTAATTAAGCCACAGCCAGAATAATGACAGATCATGTTTCTTGATAAAGTACATTAAACAATCTCAATGAATATCAATTTAAAAAAGAAAACTAAAGAATCAAGGCAAAGTAATTAAAGTTGGCCAACCTGCATAGTCATGACGGTGCCCGTTCTTTTACTTTATTAGAATCGAGAAGCGGTCTTATCTATACCCTTCAGGACTTTTAGAGGCCATGACTGTTTCTAAATTATATCTTTAGACTTAGACTACGCATTACTCAGAAAATATTTATATAAATAAATTTAAATAATTTGACAAACTTTGATAATAGTTTAAAACTAAGAAAATGTTACCCACACATTTAATAATTCACGTCTAAGTATGAAACATAAAATATATACTTAATACATTATAACTCAATGACTTAATAAGTGAATATTGTTAAAGTGTATACAGTAACATATTTTAATGAAAATTGTAATTTTTAATATCTCTGCAGTGACGGATTCACCATAAGTTGCTTCATCGAACTTTGGGAGCATGCATCCGTTTGTTTTCGTCGAAGTCCCTCGTCGATTTGACATCTAGAAATAATATTTTTTTTAAAAACTTCTTTAGACATCATATATTGTGAAGCTAAGAAGTTTCACTTCTCACGTGCAGTTCTCCAACTGACAATTTTTTTTATACAGATGATGTACTTTGGAATACACATAAATATCTGTGGAATATAAAATGATTCTAGGCCAGGGCGGGCTCTTCTATAATTGGAAACCTACTTGAAGGGGGCTCTGCCACGTGATTTTATTGCGTGATTCAATAATGGAAGTTAATAGGTTATCACTTATCAGTTACGTGTTCTGTCTAATTTGGACCATTCAATGTTTACGTAGGCCGTTGATAAGAAACAACTAAACGACGCTAATAATATTTTGCAATCTACAATATTCGGGTCTGGGTTCTTCCAATTTTATCGCTTAATGCGAGTTGCACTTAACATCAAGCTGATAAAGAAGTGTACGTCTCTGCGTACCGTTACCGTGTAATGGTGGTGTATGAATATACTTCTATCCCATATCGGTTGTCGTAAGAGGCGACAGAGGAAAAAAACCAGCAGATGGACAGCAGCGTCTACCTAACAACAAGTAAAAATAAAAAAAAACATGCGTGAGTGTCGTGGAACACTCGGTTGGAACGAAGTTCTTTCGTAGTATATTATTATTGATAAACGTATTATATAATTGATTAAAAATACACATAAAAGAATTACTAGCGTCTATTAAAATTAATATTACTTTCATGGCATGATAAGAAAAAGTGCGAGGGAGATGGATATTATTCCATCTCGCTCGCACTATAGAAAGGGAGTCGTGACGGAAAATTCTTACACATTTTCTCGCCGAGTCCCCGTCCTTCAAATTCGTACCGTGCGATAATGAACTTCGTTCCAAAAACTACGGTAGCCACCCCGCCCGACAAGCGTGCGACTATAATAAATATAGTCTCTAAAAAGCAATCTATGGTTATGCAGCGCTGGACATTTAATAGGTATAATGACGGTAACGGTCCGTCTCTCTGGTTAACTTCAGTCACCAAGCAGCACTGCCACAACCACTATGTTCCATATTGGATGGCACTCGTACCATTCAATCAATATTACATACTGTGAAGTTACATCTATGTCCGTGTCAGGTGTGAAATTGCATCTTTCTTTCTTTTGTTTGAAGTTTTTGCAGGTGCTCATAGGTTATAGTAACCACTTACTCTTAGGTGGACTTTTTTATATAAGTTATTAAGAATAACTAAACTATTGGTCAAACCTTGATCAAATTTACATGGGATCACATGAGAAGTACCAGATTTCAAATAAAAAAAGTATAATCGAAATCGGTTCACCTAGAAAAAAGTTATGAGGTAACACATAATAAAGAAAAAACTTTTTTTTCTTTTGCGTGGTATAAATTATACCCAGAAACGTAGTAAGCAGTATAGATACGGTAAAAGCGAAAATACTTTTGATAAAATGGAGCGGTACGTTTTAGATACTTGAGCAATTAAATCAATTACAGGTTTACAGGTTTTGACTACCAAACCTTGGGTCAAATGGACAACAAACCAGATATATAATCCATGGGACCGAAATGTTTGATCGGTTCAATGTCAATGTTGTATATTTCGGTGTTTCGAACAGGTAGAAAGAATGGATGACGAAAGAGTGACAATGCAAATTTATACTGCAAAAGTGAATCGTAGAGGGAAGTCTACCAACGCTCTAGAGCGAAGCCTATGAACCAAATTGGCAATATATTGAACATGGGCCGGAATGAGAGTACCTTTTACCTACGAGCATATATACGCATATAGATAAGCGAAAGAGTGAATTGTGTCAGGATCATGCCAAATGGAAGTGCGGGTCTCTGCCTATCCCTCTGGGAGTCTGGCGTGAGAGCTTCCTGTAGGGATTTAATGTGATCACTTACAAGTCATCGTATGACCGCCCCAAAGACTCGTTGTCCTCGCGACATCAACAGTTCCACTGCGCAGACGGCAGCAAGCAGCAAAAGGAGGCCAATAATGGCTAGGGCAGCACGGCAGCGTCTCCGACGCTTCTCCCCTCTAGCTAGGCGCCTGGCCAATGCTTCGCCCCTTGCTCCGTCCAACGTGAAAAGAGCGCTTGCAGCCTAGAATAAAAGAAATCAATAAATCAGACGCAAAGTTTGATAGTGGCAGCATTCCAAAAACTGTAAGAAGATGCCAGTTCATTTATTTATTTTGGCCTCAGACGAAACTGAAACCATGCTCAACTTATCGTAAGGACACTCACTCACACACACACATGCATATCAAATCATTTAAAATCAACAATATGGTTTTAATTGTGAATATTTTTTATAGATTAAGTGTGACTAGAATAGAAAATGAGTATCTGCATCTTCCTTATAACAACATAATAAAACTGCGGTTGCCAACCCGTTTGCTCAGCCTGACAACAAAAATATTCAGGCAGACGTATGATCATCAGTGGACTATTTAAAAAAGTACCTTTTTTTATAGAACAAGGGTGAAAAACGAGCACATAATCTACCTGACGGTTAGTGAATGCTGTGGCCCATAGACATCTTCATCTATCCCCGATTAAAAATCAATATACAAATGTGTTGTCACCCGTGAGGACTAACAGATGGAATGCCTCGTTTCCACTAAAAATGGTCTCTGGCTCTCTACATTCATAATTCGAAACACAGCCGCATTATGCTGCTATTCCATTCTAGTATTACGTGGTAGAGCCATGCTGCAGCTATATTACTGGTATAGTTGAGCACGAATGGGTCAGCTCGACCGGGGAAGGACCACACTTTCGCCACCTAAAAACTCTTACCAGCGTAAAATAGCAGCTTAACGCTACTGTGTTTCGTATTGTGAGTGTAGAGAACCGGGTACCCTTTTTACTGGAAACGAGGCATTCCATCTTGGCCCTCACAGGTGACAACGCATCTGCATTTTGATTTGTAATCGAGGATAGATGTAGATGTCTACGGGCCACAGCAACCACTTACCATCAGGTGGACTGTGTGCTCGTTAATCACTCTTATTTTATATAAAAAAAAAACTTCCTCGGTCTAGCCGACCCATTTGTGCTACAATCTTAATATAGCTGCAACGTGGCCTTAATTAAAGGATAAGTAACGTAAAATGAGCAATAATTCAAGAAAAAAAAACACGGCCATGCGAACTTTGGAACAGTGTACATTCACACGCGTATAAAGTTTAATTGACAACTGAATCACAATGATCATGTTACAAAGAACTTTGTACGATATAATTTTGTTTCGTAAACAGTCGAATTAATTCTTTCACGTCAAAGGAACGAGACATTTGGTACCGTTATTGCCAATCTTCCCGCCTAAGCAGCAAGGAAAAGTCGCGAAATATTTTCTTCTCACACTTATTAATATAATAATAGTCCACAGTTGGACATAAGTACAGTTCCCAGCGACATAAGGTTTTCCTGTCACAGGAAACTTCTGATATTAAAATGTTACCAAAATTACAATAGTGGTACTAATTATGATATTCACATTATTGAAATAAATGTAAAACGTAATCAACTAACTTTGATTTAGATCTGGTAATACTTCAAACCAATCCTATATTCCTTTTCGTGTACCCCAATCCGATGACGAAGAGCAACAAACAAAAAGCAAGTTAGGTAATATGCCTAGAAACCGTGGCAATCTACAAATCTTACCTAATGAGAGAATTCAAATTATAATATGAAGTACTTTTTTTATAAAAATAATGTTTAGTTATTAAGATATCAACCTATTTATATCTAGTACATTTGTAATTTAAGATAATGAACCGTAGAAGTATTATATAGACATACAAATAGGAATTACACTCTATTGTGAATTAAAATACTATACATAAATTAATTATATAATATTAACCTATATAGCGCCGGTTTCATCCCCTGCCAGTGTTTTGTTTTGTCCATCTATGCGGGATTATAAGGATTTTTTATTACTAACGTAACGTTTTCTAGTTAAGTCCTACGCGGGCATAGTCGCAGGTAAAAGCCAGTACTTAATAATTTAAAATATTACCAACGTCAAATAACTTGAAGCTTTATAACACTCGTTTTATAAGACTATACGTAGTCGAAGCCCGGCGTTTTTCAAGGAGAGTTTCATAATACGGAGCTGTTAATAGTTACATTATGTAAAATTAAAGTTTTTAATTACTATCAAAATAAGTAAAGCCGTAAAAAAGCAATTGACGTAGTTTCGAGAACTTACCATTGAATTGTAAACAATCATATAAAAGTAAATAGTAAGTAGGAGGTTTACATTTCGACAGTACGTTTTTTTGTGTAATGTGACGCAGTATCTCAGTCAGTTGTGAATCGTATTTGATGATTGTTCTTTCATTAAATAGATTTTATTTCAGGTGTGGTTATATAAATTTGGAGAAAAAATCACCCCCCCCCCCCCCCTCTAAGGATGGCAAAGTAGGAGATAAAACATTTCTAATATAAATATTCAGGCGACATTCATCATCATCATCATCATTACAGCCCTTCGTAAGTCAACTGCTGAACATAGGCCTCCCCTTAGTTATGCCACAAAGCACGGTCCTGAGCCACCAGCCATCGACTTCTTGCATGTCTTACCAGGTCGTCACTCCATCTAGTGGTGATCGCCCTACACTTCACCTACCGATACGAAGCTGCCACTCGAGAACCTTTTTCCCCATAGGTAGTCCGTTCTTCGAGCTATATGGCCAGCCTATTGCCACTTCAGCGTACTAATCCGTTGGACTATATCGGTCACTGATTCTACTGCGGATATCCTCACTATCTAAACTTTAACGACATTGAGTTTGTGATATTCTTGAGTACACTCGAAAGAGTAAGAAATAGCTTTTAATAAAAAGTAAAAGCAGACTTCAATGGGCTAAAAAGAATACAATAATTTAATTCAGACATTCTGAATTCTGACAGACATTCTGAAGTACAGGGTTATTTTGCAATGTTATTTTTTTTTAAATGTCCGGCCAAATTTGCAGAGAAGGTTCAGAATATACTTATTCTGTACTTTTTACTCTCTTATAGACAAATGGTGAAGAAAAATTAATTAAAAATTATCATTCTGACCTTTTCAACTTTTTAATTCATAATTCGTGGTAGTATAAGGGTTGATCGGTAGGCAAAAACGTTGTTGCCTATAAATCACATACAACTTGGGATAATTTCAAATAAAAGTAGAAGCCTTATCTACTCGTATTTTCAAAAATTGCAATAACGGTCTATATCATTATTTATATATTTGAACTTAAGTTTAAAGTTTGGCTACTCCTTAAACAATAACTTAAAATCAGCTTTTACTTTTTACCGTCGATATAATACTCGTATATGTACTACGCACTAGATTTCCCATTCCGAACATTGACTATGTTCAACTCAACTGTACTGCAATCCGTACACTAAACTAAATACTCGTATTGCGTAAATTGAAGATTTGTGAATCCCATAAGATAATTATTATTACATTTTATTTAGAAATATGTTTGTTTACATTAAAAAAGTAGTATAAAGTATAAAATAGTATAAAATAATCTTTTAAATTTATTAAATTCTTATTAAAGTATCCGCGCATGCTCGACTCTACTGTCTCCCGCGCATGCGCGAAAACATAGAGTAGCGCACAATTTTTGTTTGGAATAGCTTCTCTAGTACGTAGTACATGAATCTCAATCCTTTTTACTAAAAATGTTTTAACCGACTTCAAGAAGGAGGAGATACTCAATTCGACAGTATTTAAAAAAAAATTATGTGTGTTGCTTCATAACTTTTTTCTAGGTGAACAGATTTTGATGATTTTTTTTTATTTGAAAGCAAAGCAAATTGGTGTAAACTTGATCAAGTTATAACTACTAGTTTTTGTGTTAACCTCAATCGGTTGTACAAAATTTTTAATTTTACCACTTGTCTCACATTCAGTTGTTCTCAAATTTAGAAACACTTATAATTAAAGAAGTGCTAAAACTCTTGTTTCGTATGCTCCTTAAAATGAATAAAACAATATAATGTATTTAGAAAGAGTTTGTGTGTGTGTGTGTGTGGACGTTATTACTATTTTCAGAAATTTTATTAATTTTATCCCAGATACACATAGTCAATAATATCTTCGAGCGTAGTGGGAGATGGGCAGCAGCATATTTCTAATAACAACTGAAAATAATGAAAAAAAAAACTCTGGTTGCTAATCCGCTTCCCAAGCGCGACAACGGTCGCAAATAATAATAATAATAATAGAACGCGCATAGGGCCGCTGCCTGGGGGTCGCCGGGGCGCGTCTGGAGCTGGCGCTGGACGTGACAGCATGCGAACCGCCAGCCGAGCGCGAGGTGCTGCACGACCACCTAGCAGCCCCTCGCGTCCATCATCCCCACCAGACGGCTTGGTGTCGGCGGGGTCCTCTCGGACTCGGCAAGCGGCACCCGCCGCTGGTGGAGTACGCCGCATGCGTTGGACAAAAAATATGAACATAAACGCATTGCGGGCGTACTATAGGGCGAAAGGGGAAGAAACTGGAGGGATAGCGTATCGGGCTCGGATGCATCGCTTTTTTGCTGAGCTTGAGCCGTCAGTTCCCGTCACGGAGCAAAACCTGGCAGACCGAGTTCGGTACATCATACGCTCGAAAATATTTGATGATGCCGAACTCGAACGACTACGACGTGAGGCTATTCCCTCATCGAATGAACCGGCTATAGCTGGGGATGCGGCTCTTCAGGCCACAGACCAGCGGCCACATATAGAGGGCGCCATGGATCTCCCTGCTCTGGTTGATTCAGGCGATGATGGAATAGTCACCCAAGAACTAGAGCAGATGAGGAGTAAATTGGAGGAGGCGATTGTGGAAACGCGCAGTACGCCTCTCGAAAATCGACCGCGACTCCCGCGCATACCCCTAAGCAAGCGGAATCGGGCTGTCGTGAGGGCTCTCAACCCAATGCTGGTGACCTATTTGGAAGCCAGCCGGGACCTTTGCGAGACGTACTCAATTCTTTTTGGCGCCGCACTGGCAGTTTGCCGTATTGTTGGCGCCAAACTTCCCACGGCTGGACGCGCTACTAGACAAAGTAGCGCCATCCCAGCCTGGAGAAGAAGGATTGA